CAGCCTTCTCTTCTCCAGGCTGAACAAGCCCAGCTCCCTCAGCCTCTCCTCGTAGCAGAGATGCTCCAGTCCCCTCCTCATCCTCGTAGCCCTGCGCTGGACTCTCTCCAGTAGCTCCTCATCTTTCTTGAAGTGGGGAGCCCAGCACTGGACACAGGACTCTGATGGGAAAGCGTCAGAAAAATGGACGCATGGTTTTGCTCGCGGCGCTGTCTCTCCAAGTGCGGGTGTTGACGGACGGCAGTCAGTGATGAGGGTATTGCTGAACCACTGTCGGGGTTCCTCTGAAGCCCCAGTTCCACTAAGGGAGGGGACGGAAAAACCCCACGTTGTATTTGTCTTCTTAAATTCTGCTAAATTGCTGAAGTATTTATCAGCACGAGCGTGTTGTACCTTTGGCAGCTCACTGCCCACGTGCCCCAGGCGTTCCCTGCAGACCTCGCTGCTGCTCCCAGCTAAGAGTTCTTAAATTAGTCTGGCTAATGCCCTTCCTACCCATTACTTCTGTCTGGCCAGTACTAGTTAAGGCAGAGGCTTCTGCCTGGGTTGATCTTAGCCTTTGCATGTAACAGGAAATCAGCTGTGCCTGTTGGTGGACGGACTGCTGACTGCGCAGTTTTCAAGAGGTCAGATTTAGTCAAATTCGAAATCCATTTTTACAGAAGTCTTGCTGTCATCAAATTCTTCAGCCAGGAACAGAATTAGGGACCTCCTGTCGCAAGCTTAGGTACCAAACTCTTGCCGTAACAGTTTAATTATCATGACAGACCTTAGCCTCATTAGCCGATTCTTGGCTTCAGAACCGCTGCAACTAGGTGTTTTGAGCAGGCTTGCTAGGTCAGGCCTCAGGTAAGAAATAAAAGGTAACCGAGTTACGCTCTTTCTTGGAAGTTCACGGAGAATGCGGGAGAGCTGTCGAGGGGTTTAGGCAGAAAGCATAACTTGTGGCGGAATTGCTGATCACTGGGGTAGGTGTTGCATTTCGTCGTCTTTTGTGCTCATGTGATTCATTCAGCGTGGTACGCGTAACACAGACGGCGTCACAGGAAATGAAACACCTTTTCGTGTTCCAAGATCAGTGCAGGCAGTAGGCACTGATCGCCCTAACTTACTTTTTTCTGGGCACATCTGTGTTTTAAGTGGAGCAGTCACAGCAACAAGGGTCTCTTGACTGCCTTGTTTTCTGTCTGTAACTTCTGCTGAGGTTGATGTCCTTCCAGCAAGGACAGGGGGGATCTGAACTCAGGTACTGTGTGTCTTAAAAAGGGCACGATTCCTGGGGGTTTAGCAGGTGTTGCCAAAAAGCATTGATTTTTAAGAACTTCATTATGGTGAGGTCTGTGGCTGTGCCTTCCGTGTTGAGGGAGTTACTGTCTCAGAATGAAGCCACGAGTTCTCCAGCGGCCCTGAAATCCTTGCGCAGTATTTCACGTTAGACTTCAAATCTGCACTTACCGAGAGCAAAGTGAGATTAATTTGGAGCAAGAGTAGGG